TGTCCCAGGCTGTAGGCAATCTATTTTATCTTTAACTTTAATCTTTTACCCAAGTCATCTGCTGGCTTATAGTTTGACTTATAGTGTATTCAAGAATAATGCCTACCATGTGGTTGTTTTGCTTTTTTTTTTTTAAGTCAAAAAGAGATGTCTGTCTGAGGTGTACCCTAAAAGTTAAATATGCTCCTATTCATCACGTAATGTTTTCACCGTATATTACAATTACAAAGTGCAGAATTTACTTGGAGTTGTTTGTCCAGGATTCTGAGTTGTCTGCTGGTTTATGGACAGCTGCCTCTGTCCCTTATGCAGGATGAGACTTACACATTCTTGTATTTGCAAATATGGTCTCTGCTGTCTCTCGAACCGGTGTGCGCTCAGCTTTCAGCACTGCATCCGGGCGGAGCAGGGCAAAGGAAGTAAAAGCAACACAACCTTCACATTGCCCCTTTCTTCATTCACTGTTCATTTGAGTCTTCTAAATCCTTGACCATTTTCTAAGTTCTTCCAAAGTTGGTTCTGTTAGTTAATAGTTGTTTTTCGATATTTCTGTAGAAGAATGAAAATTTGGAGTTGTGTATTTTTCATGTCTGATGTTATTCTGCCTTCTTTAAAAAAAAATCAATGAATGATTTAGTAGGAATGACAAAATATCTTAACATTGCCCACTTGAATTATTTAAAATAATTCCTATCTTTTCATTTGAGATTTCTTATCTAAGACAATAATTTCAAAATATTATATAGAAAACTAAATATGTAGGTAACAATAAAAGGGAAAATGAAAAATTATTATATGCACAAATTTACTCATTTACTTGACCTCTGTTCCTTAGCCCTAACTGGTGGTAGTGAGTGCGCCTCCTGCCTTTGCAGACGGTGCTGACTCACTGGTATTGTCTTCAGTGTGTGTCAGTTTGTCTGTGTTCTTAACTGATAAATGATTGTTTTCCTAACATTTACTTTGATGGTACTTTATATTTGATTAAAACATTTTAGTAGCGATGCTAATTTATTTAAAAGACACACAAGGTTTTCAGTCTTTATACTTGTTAATGTCATATTATCCTATCACAACTAAAATATGGCTACCCATGACTTTGTTTTCAACTTAGTTTAAACCAAATTATTTTCCCCCTCTTACAGTTGGTAACATTTCTCTAACAATTCAGAGATAAATCTTTCTTTAGTATGTAATACTTTTCAGAGTTATACCTAAGTAATGTGATAACTCTCAAACTTGATGTTTTCGGATGTAAACTGAAGGCACAATTCAGTAGGTATGCTCATTTACATTATTGTTGTAGTTGTTTTTAACCTAATTTAGTTTAAAATTTCTGATTCTCCGTTAAGCAGATGTTTATGCATAAAAGGCACTACAGAAATCTTGTAAACCTCCGTTAGTGTGATTTCAACAGTGCACAGATAGATGCTATCACTGTCCTTAGCTAAACATGGCTGCAGTAAAAGCTAAAAACGAGTCTACAATTTGATATCCTGTTTTGAAATTCCAGTCACAATCATGCATGTATTTGGCTTCATAAGTTAGATGTATGTATGTTGGAAATTACTTGAAAATACTATACTCTTTCTTTATCTAGAGCAGTCTAACTACTAGCATATTTTTTTTCAAATTAGTCAACTTATTTTAATTGTGAATGTTATGAAGTCATCTTACCAAGTTACATACCAACTAATGAGAAATGAATGTGTCATAAAATTTCAAACTTAATGTTCACAATAATTGATGAACTATTTTTTATAAATATATGTTATATAGTGTTATATGTAGAATAACCGATAATACATATGTATTACATATAATTTAGTAGCTATTTAAAATTTACATTATACATATATATAATTTTACCGGTTAGTTTACATTGAATATATAGCTTTAAAATTACAATTGTATTTTTAAAATTTACTGTTAAATTACATTTTAAACAATCAGAAGGAATTCCATTATCGTAAAATACTTAAGTATCTGTGCTTTTTGATCATGTAAAAGGTCTTTGTTTAAGATTCCTTAGTAATATTTGTTAATGCATTTGTGTAGGGGAGGGCTGAGGGGATGCATCCTGGTGAGTTACAAGTACCTGACAACTTAGTGCAGGATTCAGAACAGCAACTGAAAACATCATATTAAACTCTCTTGCACCCTCTGTTGTTATTTTTGGGGAACACTGAACACACCTTTTCATGATTACACTGGCGTGACAGATGCCAAATCCCTGGTAAAACTGATACTTCAATTTATTACACGAACCTCCAAACTCGGTTAATGTAAAGTTAGAATTTGCTTTTAATCCTTGTTGGTATTTTCTTGTACTAAAGATACGTTTTTGTCATGTAACTACTTCAATGAAAGATGAGTCTTTCTGTTTGTCTTTGATTTCTTCCAGTTACCAGTTTTACGTCCCATCAATGTTTCCCACAAACAAATGTCTACAGAGAGTCACCCACTATCTGTACAATTTCCCAGAATTAGAAATTCTGTTTTTTGGTAAACCTTTCAATTGTTAGATAACCGCCTTTCAAAATAAGAGTCTGAAATGATCCATACTAAAATTGCGAATTTATAACTGTAAGGAACAGATGTTTTCATAAACATTTGCTATAATTAATTTCAACTAGAGGATTGAAGGAACAAAGCAGTTTTTCAGCTTCAAAACTTTATTGCCTTTTCCCCATATAGCAAAGTCTGAAATATTTTTTCTAGTATTGTTTAGTGAAACAATTGTACTCCTTATTTGGTATGTTTTCGAGAAAGAAAAAAACTGCTTTTTTTCCTTATTACCATCTCTGAAGGTTACATTTAAGTGACATGTTCATTTTGAAACAGCAATGTAATGAAGAAAACCTTTGTAATATATTATGATGATAAAATCTAGTTGTTTAAAAAATGTCTCTAAATTATTTGAAGGATTTTGCATTTGATATAAGTATCAGAAAGAAAGAAATATTCTACTTGTGAGATTTTTATGTATTTAAGTAATCATAATCTTTGGTTTTAAGGAGAAAGAAGGCTGATATTTTAAATGTATCATATAGTACTTATTCTATGCTGATTACGGAATGTTTCACAGGAAATGTCTGCAAGCTGTTAAATAACATGTGTTGTAGGAAATTTTCATTTATCAAGACAGATACTAACTTTCCTTACATCTTTTTAGGTTTTTTTCTTTTGTTGTTGTTGTTGTTATAAAACCATTAATTCTTTTTAAAGACAATGAAGTACATATAGTATGAGTAATTTACTGTTTTCATAGAATTAACAAAATATGCCCCACTAGACAGATTATAAACAGTGATTTGAGTTATTTTCATTCTATATTGTTTTTCATCTATATGTCATCTATTTTAACCATTTTGAATGGAACCCATATTGGAATTTATATTTTTTATCAAAGGAAAAAAAATTAAAGTATACTTTGGAAAAAGAATTGAGTTAAAAGTTCACAAGGTGGTCTCAGTCCGGTTCTCATCCTGCTAAACACTCAGCACAGCTGCAAACATTTTGAAGAAAACCAACATTCTTGACTAATCTGTCAACTATAAAATGTGAAAAGAAAAATAGGTAGCTGTCATTAAAATTACATTTTAGCTTTCAATAACCATTTAATGAGTAGCATAATTATATAAGTTGGTACCTTAAGTACTATACTCAATAATTAAAAATAATCTCATCTTTAAAGTGAAAGCTCTATAATTACTATTTGACTTAACCAGGACCACTATGATGATCTCCAGTGGCACCTTAGATTATTCAAAGTGTATTAAAAGTATAAATTAAAATTGGATAAATCATTATATTATTAAGCATTAAATATCATAAAAATGAATATAACCTGATGTCTGGAAGTTTTATTACAGGAATTAGGAGTATAAAATGTAATCAGACTCTAGTCTTTTAAATTTGTTTCTAAGAATAAATGAGATCTTTAATAGTAGTTTACTGTGAGTTTATAAAAACTATATTTGAAATGTATTTTTCCCCTTTAAAAAAATGTATTGAAGTAGCACTGCTTTATAACATAGAAGTTTTAGGAGTACAGCATTAAACTCTGATATCTGCATAATGCTGCATTATGTTCACCACTGAAAGTTTCCATGAAGTATATACTTTAAAATTTGAATTATTAAAATTAAATTTCTTTGAATAAGAATATGTATTTTATATGTGGCATTGGCAAGCATCTTGTGAAACTTTAAGCAAATTTATTTTTATTCTATAATCCTTAAACTGATAGGTATGGATTTGTTCTAAATATGACTTTATGAATATGCCAGTGTCTTGAGTGAAAATTTGTGTGTATGTGTAAATGTTTCCCTATTACATAAGGCAAAGAAACCTTTTGATGTTCTTGTTTTGTTTTGTTTTTTCATTTTTTAAACCACTGAACTTTCACCCACAGTTAAAACATAATGTCTAGGGGGAAATATTAAGGTATATTAAAAGCTCCTTAGGATGCATTTGTGATCGTCACCACCAAACCTTTCTCTCTGAACCCTGCTTACCCAACTCTTTGAGATTACCGAACTGGGGCCGAAAGCATGTCCAGTCCTTTTACCTCCTGCTCCCTTTAGTCTGTACCAGTATTCAGGCTGGTATGCGATTACTAACAAAAGAATTGGTCTTTTTTTTTAATCAACATTACAAACATTGATTAGAGTCATTAAATGCCATACACATTTTGTACTCATCTGTGTTTCATAAGAAGAAATGATCATACTGTACTTCTTTTGTTCCTGTTACCAATTACTTTGGTAGTATTCCTCACCGAGTTAAAGGTGGTAATGTTCATTTATATTTTAGCATCAAAATTAATTTGTTGCCTAAAGGACTCTGACGAGAAAAGATACTTGTGGGGAGGAGGGACAAAGGTGTTGATGCTCTTCCACCTAAATATTGTTTAGAGCTGTCACACAATATTTGTGCAACTGAAATAACTAGTTTCATAATCTCCATTATTTCAGTGTTTTTAATTTTTTCCCCAGGAGATTCAAATAAAAATGGAAGAAGAGCAAGTTCTACTTTAGATTCTGATGGGACTTTCAATTCCTATAGGTAGGTGATGAATACATAGATACATCGTACTGCAAGGTAATGGACAAGACACCTAATATTACGGGATTCTGATTTTAGAGTGGTAAGGAACTCAGCTACCTTTGCTTTAAAGAAGTGTATAATAAATGTACAGAATACTGTGATATGCACTTGTTCTGAAGGCTTATTGGTAACAGAAAATGTGACATTACAAGTTCTTAATAAATGAACTTATTTTAGGTATCTTTTTTTTCCTGTAATGGAAAAAGCATATATGCTTAATGCTTATTTAGTATTAAGCTTTATTATGATCAATTTTTGTTTTTGCTTCCCAATGAATCTGTTATAGCAGCAATGGCCCCTTTTATTTAAGTTACCTACTAAAATGATGTGTGCTGCTTATGAGCATCTAACAATATAAAATATAATCCTCGGTTACATTAATTGATGTTTATTCATGTCCTGCTTCACTTTTCTGCAAACAGGAGTTATATCCCAATTAATGATTTTTTTAAAAAGCATACACTAGTTAAAAACATGTTATCTATCTTTTGTTACTACTTACTCTCTTTATTACTTGAATTTGCTTGAGTAAATGTTTATGAATTTTGTGCCTTCATAACAGGAAAATCTAAGATGATCAATTAAATTATTTCCAGTGGTATTTGAAAAATTACATATTTAACCAGAGTATTGTTGAACTAGATTGATTTTTTTTAGGGGGGTATAGGATAAATTCAATAATAGCTTTTAGCACTCGATATGTATATTCTTGTGTATATTCTTGAGGTAATGCATAATTGAAATACATTGTTCTTATGGCTAATTAATTCTGATACTTGTATAATGGTCCTTACATAAAATATGTGAGAACCACTGTACATTTAGAAACTCATTTGAATATAAACTCTTTACATAAGAAATATAAATTTATGCTTACAATACTTATATTTTTATTTGAATACATACTCTAATTTCCTAATCAGAACTGTGTCATTTATTTCTTCAAACCTTAGGTAAGATTTTAATATCCAGAGTAGGACCTTGTATACAGGAGCACTTAATAAGAGTATGGTAAATGTGAAAGTTTTTACAATTTGTTTATGAATTCCAGTAATTGAAACACTTGACATTTCTATTTTATACCATTTGGTCTGTATAGATAATCAGCCATTCCTGTGTCATGGATACTACAAAAGGTTTGTTCCCATGGTGTTATAGGCTTTATCACAGCAGTAAAGTTTGTATGTCATCATTGTATTTTCACTGAACTTATGCTCTCTTATAAAGGCTGGAACTCTCCATATTCTTCTCTTAGTGCTGAAGTATCGTATAGGAATTTGACATTTAAATGATAGGTAAAATTCTCTATCTGAACTTGTTATTGCTGATCTTGCACACACACACACGAATATAAAGGATTAATTAAATATTCATGGCTTGGCATATAACAGGAATGTTAATATGATAATATATATGAAATCTGTAGTGGTAACATGGTTACTAGATATAAATACAATAAAGAAAAAACAAAGACAAAAGGAAAAGAAAGTATTTCAAAGGGAGAAAAATATCTTCACACATATATAAAAAAATTGTTGTGAATTTTATATAATTACATTTGTAGTTTAGCTAATTAAAGTAAATAATGAACATAATATAAAGTTAAGAGAAATGTGTTAATGTGAAGGCATAGTATTATCTTATAGTTTATTTTGTTCTTGAAGTTTGAAGATTAAAGCATCTTAGTATTATTGAATGATAATTATATTTTGAAAATGAATTTCTAATGTAACTTTGCACAGTAAATACAAATGTTGTTAACTAATATATTTTTAATCAATGTCTGTCAGTGTTGTAATGTTAGGATATTAATTTATTGTCATAATTAAAAAGGCAAGATAAAAAACTCAGATAGTACAGTCTATAATAATGAGCTTTTAATAGTTCGCAGACCAGTGCTCTTATTAAGTAGTGTTTTCGTACTTAAGGTGTGAAAGGATATTTCTCTACTCAGTAGGCAATAGCTCTTATAATATAATGACCTTATTTGTGGATTTGGCAAGGGTTAAATGCAGAATTCCAGGAGGCACAGCAGAGGTGGGGGGGGGAGAAATGTTATTTTCATATTAAAGTTAACTTGAGACCTACAAATTATTGCAGAATCACACTAAAATTGACAACAGAATTGTCAGTAAAAATGTACCTCTGAAAATGAAAATTATTTTTCTGTTGCTATCATAGCTTTTTAAAACTAACTAGAAATAGATTATTTGAAAAAATGTGAATATTCCTACACTCAAGCACCCTTTAGCCTGACAGTGCTACCTATGTATTATTTAAAGTGCCTCCGAAATCCAGTTCTGGCTGTCAGCCTAGTGCCAACATACGGAAGCTGTATATGCTGTGTCCAGAATAAAGATTAACCTTAAGTTGTCATCTACAAAGAGGATTTTATCATGTCTCACCTGCTTCCTTTGCACAACTGTTTTAAAGACTGAGATAAAATGTATAAGGTAAAAACCATTTGAAAAATGTATACATAAAACCCTGACTTTATGCTAATTCTTCTGTGCTCACCTCATTATTGTGAACTAATGCTTCACATAACCATCCAGCACACATGCCCTTAAATAGCATATACTGAAGTTTTATTAACTTTTAAATTCAGTCTTGAATTGGTCAGCTAGATCTATATTCTGTCCAATACTTATTTGTATTATTGTCATCTCAGACTGTCAGTTTCAAGAGGACGTAGTCTCTTTTTAAACAGTGAATTATTCAAATCCTTACTCCAAATATTTGGGGTATTTTAGGCAAATAACCTCAGTTTCCTCAAATGTACAGTGAAGTAATAAAACACATTTGTTGTGAGGGTATTGTCATCTGATAAATGCTGAATAGTTACTAGCTGCTTTTATCTCCAGTCGATGACATCACCGTTATCATCTTTAACTTTTTTGTATTGTAGAATTTTCTTTACAACACTCGAATAAAGAAACACCAAAAGGAAGATTTTGTTTCAAAATGTGTATCATGGAAAATAACTTTTCCTACTAGCAGAAAGGGAGCGAAGAGTGATTGTTACTGGAACTTGAAACTTTTCCATCTCTGATATATTATTCTAGGTTTCTTTTGTATAACTATTTCGTCCACATAGTAAAAATGGAGATGTATTACAGTTTAAATTGAGAGATAGAATTTTGACAAGTAAAATTTAAAATTTCAAATCTATAAATTTTATTCTGAACCTAACGCTTATAAATTTGTTTTTCTAGGCTAGGAGGTTTTACTTTGGATTTGTGTCTTTTGTGGCTTTGCTCCATTGATTCAGAATGAGCACAGCTGCATTTAACTCCTAAGACACCAGAATGAATTATTATGTGATGCCAGAATAATAAACCAGACCTCGTTTTGGAAGTTTTTATTAAAATGTATATTTTCTATTTATTTGCAGATGGTGTGTTAAATGGAAAGTTACTAAGAATTGAAAAGATTTTGTTAACTTATACAGTCTGTCTTTTCTTTTTTAAAGGCCACTGTTAGTGTTTTCTGTCAAATTTTATAAGATCTCTATTCCTATTTTACAACTAAAATTAGAGACCCTTACTGGGTATGGAAGAAGAGAAGTAGTTTGCGGTTAGAGTTTGCAGTAGATTTTTGCCGTAGTGACTGTCGAACAGGCCACTGGCTAGGAGGAATATTCTCTCTACACCAACCCCTCCTCTTCCCAAGGGCAGCTGACCTTCTCCTCTCCAAAGAGGCGAACCCCTTGCCAGCACATATGACTACAGACTATTACATTAATCTGTTTAGCTGTAGTACCAGCTGCTTGCATGTTTTTAATTATCTTATTAGATGGTTTAACAGTGACCTATGAAATAAATTGAAGGTGAACATTTTTAAACTTTCCCTTTTTACCTTATATTTCTAAATATTATTATTGATCAAATTATAACTTTCCACAAAAGTTCATGGGATTTCTATATAGTTTTTTAGTAAATAAAATGCATTTTTATGTATAGGATAACTCAACACAGAAAGTAACTTCATTGTTTGCTTCATGTATTGGTAAATTTAGATTGTGTAGCCACAAATTCATGTGAAAGTCCACTGGTTTACGGGTCAGGTTAGAGAAAGCTCATGTCAGTAATTGGCATTCTCTGTGAAACTCAAAACTATTGCTGAATCTTTAAACACCTTCTTGGTGTTAAGTAAGTGACATAGAGTAGAATATAAATTTTATTGTTTTAAAATAAAATCATATATTTAACTGATATTCTAGAGTGTATATATCAACAGTAGTAAATCATTTAGTCTCTGCTTGCTTACTTTTGCAATTATAATTCCACATGGTACTATTTCTATATATATTTTCCTAATTTGTGCTGTTAAGAAAAAATGTTCTATGTCCAGTACTCTCACAGTTGGAAAACTTTGTTAATGAAATGTTGATGCTGAAACACAGTGTAAAATAATAATGATCAGGGGTTATTCAGTTGCAAATCATAGCCAATAATCAAAGGTTGCAATAATTAGAAATCCTGGTTTTCCACAAAGCGGTTGAATGCAACAAAGGGTTATAGACCACTTTTGGCCTGTCTTTTGAGCTCTATATCTATAGTTTGGATGGAGATGTGATTTGAGGCCTGAGAAGTTGTTATTGAAGATCTCTAGTATGTGTAAGCTCTATATCACTTATGCTTTCTTTAAAGAAAGATTCATACTTCCTATCTTATTTTTTTTCCTCTAAGAATACAAATCTTACATTTGAGAAGAACTTTCATTGACCATGTAAAGGAAAAGATTTTCCTTTATGCAGCTATTTGTATTCCTTTAAAAATTTTTTTTACATTTACCTTTCAAGTCATCTCTTTCTCTTGATATTGCCCAGAATTTCCAAAGTTGCTTCCTTTCCTGAAATGATGTATTCTAAAATCTACAGAATGAAAGGCTGTTTAAGTTGGTAAAAAATTAAATAAATAAAAATTATAGTTAAACCTTTTAATACTGAAAGTTTA